ATACTTTGCTGGTGGAAAGGTGTGAGCGTTTTTTGATCTTCATAATACTCAAGGGAATCTTTTCCCCGAAGATAATGTTGCAATATATTTTGAATATCAACCTACATAATTAAGTTATATTTAACAAGTAAGAAAGCCTAAGTTCGGGCAGAGCCGAACATTAAATACCCGGCGCACGTATTAAATATATGTTTTTCGCCTTACCGAAAGCTACGGCTATATGGTAAGCCGGGGCGTATCAATTTTGAGTAAATTAGAGTCCTTAGATTTCGAAATTTTGAAGTTTCAAGCAGTTCTGAAATTTACGGTTATATGAGAAGCGGCCGTTATTTTAGTCCGATTTCAATAATTTTCAACGGTTTGCTTATATGTGGCAAGCACAATAACCACACCGAGTTTGGTACAAATTGGTAGAACGGTTACTGAGATACATATATGTGATCATAAGTGGGCGGTGCCACGCCCATTTTCCAAAAATTTATCACAAACGTATTTCTTGGTAAAGAATTGTTGCAAGCATCAATTTTGAATAAATTAGATTCAATATTTACTGATTTATCGAAGATTTTGTATTTCTCTAAATTACCGTTATATGGGATGTGGGCGTGGTTATCGTCCGATTTTAAAAATTTTAGGCGATTTTGTATGCTGTACGAAGGCCGACAACTGTGCCAAGTTTGGTAGAAATTGGTACAGCGGTTACCAAGATATACACATGTAACTATAAGTGGGCGTGGCTACGCCCATTTTCCAAAAATTTATAATATTATTATTTTTTGTCAAAAAATTATTGTAAATACCAATTTTGAGTGATTTATCTTCAGTAGTTACTAAAATATCGCAGTTTTCGTATTTCTGGAAATTACCGTTATATGGGAAGTGGGCGTGGTTACAGTCCGATTTCGCCCATTTTCAATAGCAGCCTACCTTGGATTAAGGGAAACCTACATACCAAATTTCGTTGAGATATCTCAATTTTTGCTCGAGTTATCGTGTACACGGACAGACGGACAGACGGACAGACGGACAGACGGACAGAAGGACGGACAGACAGACATGGCTTAATCGATTTCTTTTTTATCCTGATCATTTATGTATACATTTGTCTATATCTATCTCGATTCGTTTTGGCTGTTACAAACAACCGTTATGTGAACAAAATTAATATACCCTTGTGCACAAGTGCGCTCGGGTATAAAAAAGCTAAAATGCATGCAGACACATTTACTCACCTCAAATGAATCGTGTGAAGTTGGTGTTGCACTTGAGGGCGAAGAAAAGGGTGCGATACTTTCGTTTTGAGGGAAAAAATTATACAATTAGTTTTGGGAGTATTTAAAAATCGTATAACTCTTTTACCTCCTGTTTTTTCCACAATTTGATATTTTCACGCAATTTCGCTTTAGTGCCCACTACTTCCACTGAAGGGAAAATTTTGTTCAAGTCGGTTTCAGTGAGATATCGCAATTCTTCTATTCCCACGCTGGCATCTGTATATTTAAAAATGTGAGTTATTTAACAGGTGTACACTTATTGTCTGTCTAAACATAAAATTATAACTTTTTGCCCGTATTATTCGTTACAAAACTTGCGAAGTATTTTTTCAATTAATGCAAAGACAAGCATGAACAAAAAGATGAACGAAACTTCAAGAAGCTTGCCCTGTCGGAAATAACTACGTTGTCTGGGAAATTAATTAATTGACAAAGTAGTTGGAAACAAACTACTTTTATGAAGTTAATGTAATTTAAAGTAGAAACATATGCAGTGTCGGATAATTAACTTGGTTCTAGAACATCGCCATGTTAATAAATAAAGTTAATTGCGTACAAGAAAAAATGGAAGAATTCAAACTACTTGTGAGTGATAAAAAAGTACTTTTTAATAGCTTTCAACGTAATTGAATTTCCGACAGGGTGCATATTGATGGTACTACATATGTATGTACATATAACACGGGCGCAAAGTTATATTGGCATGTACATAACTATTCCAAATAAACCTTGCACTTCACTTCAATGTTGATATTAATTCAATATTATGCACATACTTACTTCTTAGTATAAGATAAATTTTCTCCAAATCCCACTCTTTAAGCAAACATAGAAGTTTTTCGTCTTCCTCCACTTCCTTGCTTTCACATATAAATATATCAAAATCACTATTTCCGACGTTCATGTTATCAAATAATTTACATTTATTTACCCGCACACACTTTATAAGTCAATAAAATATATATTTCTTTGCAAATTAGAAGCGAAATTAATAATTTGAATATAATTACTCGCGGGTCCGCACACACTTATTAACACAATTCTTTGCAAATATAAATATGAATGACTGCGTCTCAGTTGCCACCCTGTGGGGAAAATCTCTAGTTCTGAACTGGGGCGCTTCTAGTACATTTAGACCCAGTACTGGTTCGCGATAAATCTCTTTTGCATGCAAGCAACTGGCGAATTTAACATGGCGATGTCCTAGGAAGTGTCAATTGCCCCCCGCTGCATCCCTTTTTCGATAGTTCCAAACTAGTCCTAAATTCTATAGTTCCGAACCAGTTCTAAAATCGACAGATGAAAGAAAAAAGTATCATGATTTTTCAATCTTTTCGGTTCTTCCGTGTGTGATTTTACATTATTTTCAAAGAAACATTTTTTCAAATTTGAAATTAGATTTGTTTGAATGATTGTAAGAAATGTACGTTTACATACCTTTGGCTGTAGCTGACTTTGCAGAGGTGCTCGCTGTTATTGGTTAGATTCCAGTAGGCACCAAGATGTTAATATGTTAACACAAAGCTTTGTTTTGTATTACCAAAATATGAAATAGCATCTGCGAAGCACAGAAGAGAAGAGTATTTGAACGAAAAAGCCGCCGAGGACATATCTATGTAGAGTAAACAAGCCCACCGCTGCATCCCTTATTTGATAGTTCCGAAATAGTTCTAAATTCGACAAATAGGATCTAGTTCGTTCTGCATCCCTTTTTCTATAGTTCCGAACCATTTCTAAATTCGTCACTTTAGATATAGATTTCTAGTGAAAAAAACTGAAAAAATTAGTTTCTTAAAAGTACCACTTTTCGCCGATTTTGGACTGGTGGGGATCTAGTTCCTATCGGACTAGCTCGTTTTTGGCGATGAAGACCTAGTACGGAACCAGAAATTTGATTCCCTAGTCCGCGGTTTCCCTACAGGGCAAATACACGCACGTATACAAAGCATCACCTAACGGGATTTAATGCTGTTGTTTTAGACAATTTAACAGAATATCTGTTGATTTAACTGGACCAATTGGCATGTCAACTGCCATTTCTGTTAAAAATTATCAGATTCGATCTGTTGAACTAACAGACAAACGAAATTAGCGTAGGGACAGTTTATTTAACAGTGCTAGTTGGCAAAACGACTGCAATTTCTGTTAATAAACAACAGTACTGATCTGTTGAACTAACAGATACATTCAACAGGTTAAAAAACAAAATATTATGGTTCAAATTAACAGAGTGCCGATTATATGAACTGTAATTTCTGGTAATAGTTAACAGAACAGGTCTGTTGAATTAATAGATAATTTTAATAGGTTTTTCTGTTAAAGTAAATGGTTTTATCGTTAATTCAATCCATAAATCTGTTTATATGAACAGATTTCAGTTAATTCAACGATTTTTGATATCAACAGTAGAGGACTGTTGATATTACTGCTAATATTTTTCTGAGTGTACGGTGCGTCGCCGTCACCGTCACCAGCAGTTGTCAAAAAAGCTGATTCGGTGTATTTGTATGAAGTAAGTTACATGAGAAAGCTGACGGTGACGGTGCCGCACAAATTTGCTCAACTCTCAATTTTGCTTATGCGATTGCGTCAAATGACAACTATTCAGTGTTTTGTTTACATGTTTGAACGTAAATTTTTCAAACTTGTGAAAATTTTAATATTTATGGAAAAACGAAATGTAAAAAATAATGCAGAAAAACATAATAGAAGAAGTGAAAAAGTAAAATGCAAATTTTGCTAAGAGTATAAGCGAGCTAATGATTTTTCGGGCGCAATGTCAAACGATTTGTGTGTAACTTGACGCATAACCATCGTTGACGGTGATGGTGACGGTGGCGGTGACGTTGTAGCAATGGATGGTATGTGCTTTCATTTTATTCGTTGATCGTTTTATGTGTTGCTTCTTTGGAATTATTTACATATATTTTGGGAGCAATATGGCCAAATGGCCATAATAAATATTATTTGCTTGCAACATTGTTTTTTTTTCTAAAACTTGAAGTTTGAAGTTTTGTGGAACATTTGTTTTTTCTAAAACTTTTCGTTTGAATTGTTGTGAAAAAATACTATATAATTTATTTGTGAATAAGCCAAGCTGTCTAATTTTCAAAAAAACGTGGACGTACGAAGGTGTCCGTTTGTTTCATTCACCAGCGGAGCAGGGTAGGCTGAATAAGTTGGATATTTCAAATATTTAATGGCGAAGTAATTTTTTGTAGCTCCAACGTCTCCGCAAAATTATAATCCCACAGCCATGAAACAGACCTTCCAACAAATGAGAAAAAGCTATTTTTTACGTGCAGGATAAATTATTGAAATAAGCGCTTGAAAGGCAAAAGGTATAATCGATTAATCTTTATAAACCTCCCATATATACCTATTTGAATTTATTTATTTAAATCTTATAACTATTAATATCACGTGATGCGGTGTTGTATTCACGTTGCTGATTTCATGTACCTAATTTCATCTCTTCATAAAATTATCAAGATTTGTCTATGCATCCGTCGGTGAGTCCTTGAAAGTATTCTTTGTGCAAAATCTTTTTTACTAATTTCACCATTTTGAAAAGTGTCACTTTCAATTGGTTACTGCATTGGTAGGACTGCC